TATTCTAACCATGACATCACACTAGTCCTCACTGAGACCCCGATGCCATTATTACTCACACTACCAGTTAAATAGCTCACTGATGCAGTTCACAAGAAGTGGATGTGAGAGCTTGCTGTTATTTGGGGGCGGATCAATAGCCCATCGGTCTTACCTGCTGTCATGGACTGGTTGGACTCAGATGAATGGTGGGAGGAACCAGCTGAGGAACTACCAAGGGAAGAAGATTCAGAGCATGGGGAGTGGTGGGGGGATAATGGGAGTGGTCATAGGAGGGGAGGGAGAAGATTGGGAAGAGAAGGTGTCAGGAGCTGAGGAGGTAACAGGGTTTCGTGAGCTGGGAGAGCTTGTTGCAGAGAGAAGTACAGAATTGGAGGCAGAAGCTGAAGCTGAAGCAGAAAAGGAGAGAGGCCAAGAGGCAGAGATGAGTCATCTGGTGAAGAGTCACAAGTGTCTCCCCCTCCTGCTGCAACAACCTCCCCTCCCTGATTGCTCCCAGAACCAGAAGAGGCATAAAAAGGGCGAAGGAGAAATTGGTGACCCACAGGCTCAGGCTCTGATTGGGATACACCCTGAAAAGGAGGGGACTTAGGCAGCTATGGGGAGGCAGGGACCTTCAGTCTCGGCAACTGTTTTATGGGGGTCAGACCTACCAGAGATGAGTTTCTGTGCTTATTAGGCCTGGCACTCCTGTGCAGAACACATTTTTGCTAATAAAGAGTGAATACCAACTTGCACAGTGCGATTTACTGCTGGCTCGCTCCTGGTAGCTGCATTATCTGACAACATTGACCAAGCCAAGATTTTACAGAAATCTCTTTCTAAAGATCTAGCACAGGATGATCCAACACACAGCCTGCAGCCTGCATGTGGCCCTCAATGCCTTTTTGGGTGGCCCTTGCTAAGTACCAAAGCTGCAAGGAAATGGAAGTGACAACATGGAAGCCTTGGCCTGGTTTGCTCATGACCACTACAAGCCACTCATCCCAGCTGTGGCTGAGAATCCACCTTGGGGGCTTGGATGAGGATTCACCGCTTCCTATTCTCCCATCTCTGACTGCCCAGCCCCTTCCTTCTGCCTCAGGGAAGGCACAGAACCCCACAAATATCTGCCCCTCCTCCTTCCTCCTCTGTCCACCCTTCAGACTCCTATCTGTCCCTGACATTCTTCATCTTAAGGTGTTGTGTGTGTTTATGGTGTTATCTACACTGCTGAGTTATAAAGTTAAAATGTGTTATAAAAATGTGACACCAGAGGGCTCTGTAGAGCAGCAATCTGTCACCAATGAGAAATTGCATTGGGAGCTATTTTTTAAATAGCATTTTCCAGATCAATGTAGATCCAGCCTATGAGTAGACTCAAATGGTTCTTTCCCTCCCCTTCTACAAATATCTACAAAGAAACTGCATCACCAGAAGCCTTTGCTCATGCTTCACCTGAAGACCCTTAGCTCAGCAAGCCTCAAGTAATAAATTACTTGACTTGCATTGGCTCCCAGTAAAAATGCACACCTTGTTCAGACATCTGATCCTGTTCCATGCTGACCTAGATGACTAAAATTCAGGAGCCATCGTGTCCTGACAGGAAACTGGCCCTCAAATCCCCACCCTGTGAAGTACAAACTGAACAAAGAAGAACTGAGGAGATGTTGCAAGTCTAATTATGGAGCCACACCTCACTCTTGCAGGCTGGCTGCCAAGCTATTTATTAACCAATTTTATTTCTTGAATATTTGCAGGAGGTGCAACAAGTTCTTGCTATCTTATCTGTCTGGAAACTGGAAACAGGTTGCTGGGACTTCTCATGATATTTGTACAGCAGGATCCTTGGCAAATTCCCCAGACTTCAAAAAATCCAGAGCATTAGAGATACCTCATCCAGTTCAGATGAAGCAGTCTTTGTCATCCCATTGGAAATCTGGGTTATTTATTTGTTGTGCTCACAACCCACTCTTTCACTGCTGAGAACTGGTCACTTGGTAGTGAAGTATGGACAGGCCTTTCGCACCTTGGCGCTGGAATGTGCTCCCCCTGGAAAATCTGTGACTGACTCCTCACCACCCCAGTCCAGAGTACAGTGTGAAGCCCTTTTATAGACTGCCAGCCTCTTCAGCTGCAGGTCTCAGTTCCTCTTGGTCAACCAGAACCATGCAGGTGTCAGGGACTGGGCAGAGGAGGAATGGAAGAGACCGCCTCCCCAGCCTGACCCTTCCAGAGAAGAAGAAGAAGACAGTTCAGACTTACAACAGGGGTTGGTCACAGCTCAGAGGCAGATGAGGGGAAAAGTGGGGAAATAATGGGAGAGGAAGAGAAGGCAGAACCGGAGCAGCAGCAGCTGGCTGACACGTTGTCACTAGAAAGCATTCCAGATCCTCCATCTCCCAGAACCTGGCAAGCCTTAAAAGTAGGAGAGCAAAGAGTTCAAAGACAGAGGGCACTTAGCGGAAACCATAGAGAGGATGGTGTTGTTGATGAATGGGGAAGTGGGAGAAAAGGGGGGTGGAGATTTACTTGGGACAGTGCCATTATTCCAAAAGGCTGCTTTCCCAAGCCTCTCTCTCTAAATATTGAATAAAAAGCAGATGGTAAGGATTTTTCCCCATTCCTGGCAACCTGCTGTGGCGGTTGGTTCCTCTGCTGCCTGACAGCAGGATTGCAAATGCCCTTGGCCCCTATCTAACTACAGCCACACAAAAATGGAACTTATGTGTGACTGGTTGGCTGTACCAGTGTGAGAGTGGAGATATGAGTCCAGGTACATAGTCAGTTCTGCAAACCACCTTTTGAAAGCAATGCAATGGGCACAGAGGGTACTGCCATCCTGTTCACGTGTGTATGCATTGAGGATCTTGAAAAGAAGCACGCATTGCATCTGATGATGCCCATAGTTCCTGTTCCAAACAACAACAACTTTATTATTTATATCCCACCCATTTGGCTGGATAGACAAAAGCTAGGTGGGAGTATCTGTGTTTACCAAAGTACAGTGGTACCTCGGGTTAGGTACTTAATTCGTTCCAGAGGTCCGTTCTTAACCAGAAACTGTTCTTAACCTGAAGCACCACTTTAGCTAATGGGGCCTCCTGCTGCTGCCGCACCGCCGGAGCACGATTTCTGTTCTCATCCTGAAGCAAAGTTCTTAACCTGAAGCACTATTTCTGGGTTAGCGGAGTCTGTAACCTGAAGCGTATGTAACCTGAAGCATATGTAACCTGAGGTACCACTGTATTTCTCTACCTTCAGTTGAAATCTAAGGATTATATTCAACTAAGTTCCACCCAAAGACCTACTAAGTTAGTCATGTGTATTAACGTCAATGAGTCTACTTTGAGTAGGAGCAGCATTGGCTACAATCCTTTGCATAGAATAAAACCAACCCCAAACCTTCTCGACATACAATATAAGTTGCAATGCAGAAAATAAATCCTGGTCGCAAATAGGCTCACTATAAGGACTAAGGGTGGATCTACACACAGGAAAAAACACACTATAAATAAGTCAGAAATAACAAAAGAAAAAAAACGCTATGTAAAATAGCATACATTTTTTATTATTATTTTTTGCTGTCCTGTGCTATCTTGTGTTGCATGTTTATAACATATTCCAAACACTGATTTTTGACTAATGTAGTTGAGTCCGAGGAGTAAAGAAGACTAGGAATCTGTCAGTGTAACCCTGAAGCTGCAATCTTCAACCTACTAAATATAGTGGGACTTTCTTCTGAGGTCGCACTGCAAGTGTACTTAGAATTAAGTCCCATCAAATACTTCCTGAACAGGTAAGTTCTTTTGTGGTTGCCCAAAGTGGGAGGTGTCTTTAAAGGGTGTTTGTGGCCACTGCCCTTCCCTTCATCTCATTCCTGTGTAAAAGCAGCAGGCACTGATGTTCTCCATCTAACCACGTCTCATCTACCTGCCTACTCCTCTGGAAATGCTTTGTAGATATACCAAACAATTTCCATCTCAGGAACTCTCTTTCCACCAGTTGAAGCTGGCAGGGAGAGAGCCCAGGAGACAAATAGGAGGAAATCATCCAGCAGCTGGGCACATTCTGAAGGATAACCTGGGCCCTCAGCAAGTGTAAATCACTGTGATCTCAGTTGACTTTGGTGGGTGTCAAACGATGTCTGGAGGCCCTGTGCTTCCCCCCTTCCCACAGTGCAACTAAGCAGCCCTGGCTCCAGAGCCTGCTTATTTCAAGCTAAGGGGGAGCAAAAGGATGGGCTATTTATTTTTAAACCCACTTTATAAAAGAAGACGAAGCTAATTTCCCTCGTTTTCCTTTGGACTCCTGCCCGGGCTTCTTGCTGCACATGCATCCCTTTCCGAGCCAACAAACTGGCAGATACCAAATGCCAAGTCGAGCCCAGAACAAAGAGGATAATCTGAAAGGCGAGAGGTGCTGGTGCCAGGAGGAGTTGGGTCCCTGGGCTTTGACTGCCCTCGCAGTGGCCACGGCTGACCCCTAGTGGTTCCTCGGGGAAATGGAAGAGTGAGGTTGACATGCCAGGCTCTCGCCAGTGGTGCTGGCTTATCCAAAGGGCTTCTCCCACACCACGTGGCACCTCCCTGTGCTCCTGGTTGGATGCCAAGGGAAATGTTCTACTTTGTTACTTGGTGGTTCTGTAATTTCGCCCGTTTGTTTGTTATGGATTTGGTTATAGCTTATGCCTTTATAACAGATGTGTTAGTCTTTAAGCTGCTACTAGATGCTTTATGAACTTTGCAGCAACAGAATACTACCGTCAGCCTTCCAGAAGATATAGTTTTAGTTGTATTTTCTTTTTTAATCAATATCCTTGTTTCATTTTTATTGGTCCCCTTATGTAAATTCGTTTATTTTTGGAGGTGGGGGTGCGTGTTGTAAATGTACCTTGATAAATAAAATATATAGTAGAAGAGTCATTGGGGTGATCACATGGAAAGGAGAGTGGGGGTTTTTTTGGGTTTTTTCACTATTATTAAATTCATATCCTGCGTTTTTCCCCAGACTGGAACTCAGGTTGGCTCATTTGGTAGAGCATGAGACTCTTAATCTCATGGTTGTGGGTTCGAGTCTCATGTTAGGCAGAAGATTCCTGCACTGCAGGGGGTTGGACTAGACCAGGGATCCCCAACCTGTGGCCCTCCAGATGTTTTGGCCTACAACTCCCATGATCCCTAGCTAACAGGACCCATGGTCAGGGATGATAGAAATTGTAGTCCAAAACATCTGGAGGCCCAAAGGTTGGGGATGCCTGGACTAGACCACCCTTATGGTCCCTTCCAACTTTACAGTTCTATGATTTTCTGCAGCTAATTCTATGTCATTTTTTTCTGCCTTAAGCCCCCCAGAGTGATGAACAGCCTGTGAATATAAAAGAAAGCTACAATTAAAGTACAATAAATGCAGGAAGTCAAACGGAACAATATAAAACAGCAAAATCACCCATAATTACACAGGATATGACTTCCGGCAATGTATGCTATCCATTCATGCTCTCGCCATAGACGCAGCCTTCCAGCATCCCACCTCTCCCATAGAAGCTGGGACCTACTGCAGGCAATGGACTTTCTGCGCAGCTGGCCCTATGATTCCCCATGCACCAAGAAGGAGGATTTTCAATTCTGCTGGATGGACATCTGTGACGTTACCATATGAGAGTGCTGGAGGTGAAATAGTTAAACAGGTTACCCTATCAGAACCCAGGGGGGTGGACTCAGAGGGACTATAAAACCAGCTCTGGGGGGAGTTTGTGAGGAGTTCATTGGGAGTTGGGTGGTTGGTTGGAGTGGGAGTGAATTGGGATAGAGTTTGTGGGTAGGTTGAGTCAGTGTAGCGAAATAGGCTGAGTCAGGAACAGTTAGGGGCTAGGCAGACAAGTAAACATCTGAGAGGTGGTTTAGTGAGTGAGAGCAGGTAGCGAAAGTTGTAGGTCTGGATAGGCACCCCATGAATGTAATTGACTGATACTGTTTATGAAACCACACGCTTGTTAAACTGCAATAAATAAACAAAAGTTTATGTTTCAATTTAACGCTGACTGGACTTAGTATTGTCCCAGGTAGGGCCTGGGTGGTGGTAGCGAGAAATAAAGTGGTGGCACAGGGATCAATAGTCCAGGGACCCTGTGTGATCACCACAGCATCTATTTCAATTCTCACCTTGCTCATTTGAAATGGCCTGCAATCAACCAGGCCACGTGGTGTATGGCTGGCTTGGGGTGTGGTGGCCACCTATTGAATGGCACCCACACCTACTGCAAATATGGACAAGCCCTTTATGGGCCTGCACTTGCATTGAGCTAGCTCGGAATCCCTGCCTGTCTGGAGGAATTCTTTATCTCCTCCATGGAAGAAAAATGTTTCCATATTCCCTCCCGCCGCTCCTGACCTGCCGTCCCAGGGAGCCCTTTTGCCCCCGAGAGCCATAATGTTATTTGTTAACATTTTTATGACGCCAAATGGTCTGCGCCGGAGCGGGTGCCATTCTTTCGCTGGGAAACCATATGGCACTCCAAGTAATAAATAAGGTATTGTGATAGTTAATGAACCTAATTGCTAGCAAAGGCTTTAATACAAAGCCTGCGCCGCTGAGAATTTAGCACCGCATTAGGGATGCGATGGAGCTCCCCTGACTTCTGAGGCTTAATTTAAGTTCTATATTGCAAACCCCAGAAAATAATTCCAAACCCTCCTGCTGCAAAAGCAACCTGCTGCTAGACTGTGATTATACTGAATTACTAAAAATCGCAATCCATTTTATACACACGGTTAACCCTTGCTAGGGCTGTCTCCTAGAGGTGATTTGATTTTCAACCACTTAAATCACAGCTTGGGGACAGATATGTAAATAAACCCTGGGCACCATCCCATTCACGATTCTCCATTTTTGAGCATTGCCCCCAGTGCCATGACTTTCCCTTTCAAGCAAAACCCTGGCCTAGCCAGAGTAGCACTGTGCCAAAACCTCCACTCTAGTTCCTTTTCTTCTCTTGTGAAAGAGGCATCTCTTCTTCTATGCTCTTCCAGAGGACACCTTAGACACTTTCTTTATGGTTTTTCAGGGTGTGTGGTTGAGATTACTCTATGGTTGTGAGCTGGCTAATGGCTTAGGCCCAAAATACCTGAAAGATAACTTCCTTCCCTCTAGGAGTCCATGGGTGGTAAGATCAGGAGAGGAAGCCCTCTCAGTGGTTCCACCACCCTTGGACTCTTGGGAAAGGCCATTCTTTGTGGCAGCCCCTAAGTTGCAGAACTCCCTCCCCATAGAGGTGCATCTGGAGTCTTCATTATATAAAAAAGGTAAAGGGACCCCTGACCATTAGGTCCACTCGTGACCAACTCTGGGGTTGCAGCGCTCATCTCGCTTTACTGGCCGAGGGAGTCGGCATACAGCTTCCGGGTCATGTGGCCAGCATGACTAAGCCGCTTCTGGCGAACCAGAGCAGCGCACGGAAATGCCGCTTACCTTCCTGCCGAAGCGGTACCTATTTATCTACTTGCACTCTGATGTGTTTTTGAGCTGCTAGGTTGGCAGGAGCAGGGACCAAGCAACGGGAGCTAACCCCATCGTGAGTATTCGAACCGCCGACCTTCTGATCGGCATGTCCTAGGCTCTGTGGTATAACCCACAGCACCACCTGCAAATGCTGAAGACATACCTCTTTACCCTGGCTTTTGAAACCTGAGAGGTATATTTTGGGTGACCTTATTTCTGCAACTGCAAGTTGTTTTAAACTGTTTTTAACCTATTTTAATTGTAGTAGCCCACCCTGGGACCTTAGGGTGGTTCTCCAGTGCTGTGCAGCCTCCCCACCTGCCTGCACTTCCTGACGGGGGGGAGGGACCTCATCACATCTACCTCTAGGATTTCATTGAAGCCACGGAGGCTGGCCACCAGGTGCTTGAGATTAGTGCATTCACTGATAGTGTTTTTAACAGATGTCCTTCCTATTACCTTTTAAAAATAAAATAAAATCTTTCTGCACTGAATTCTTTTAAAGTAAAAGAAAGAGAAGAAGAGAAATAAGGAGAAGCTGCCAGGATCACAGTAGACAGCATCCCTGGTGTCCTCAGCTTACAGAAAAGCTCAGCTAAGGATATCTTGAGATTTTCATGAAGGGTGGGCACCCAGGAAGGCTGCAGAATGCAAACCACGGAAGAGATGGATTGCAGAATGAAGGAAAATACAATACAAACACCCCTTGGGCACCTTGAAAGTAAGGTAAGTGCAAACAAAACAAAACAAAAACCTACACACTGCCCAGGAGAATTTCACTATTTCTTTCCCTCTTCTCCCCTTTGATAATTTTTGAATGCAATTTCTTTTCTCATTAATTGGTATAGATTTTTTTAAAAAAACAAAACACACAGAAGAAATGTTCAGCACAGTACTGAGGCAAAAAGGCAAAACTTCAGAGGCCTTTCAACAACGAAAGGTTGTGCCCCTCAGCTCTCTGGACTCCCGGCTACACTCACTGCGAGAGATGGACTGTCATACAAATGCTGAACTGTCAACTAGTTGTGTGTCCCACAGGCAAGTGAGGTGCTCCCTGAGGCTCTGATAGCTGTGGATCTGAGGGAGGGATAAGTACCTCCATTGGCTGCTGGTGGCGGAATTCTCCCCCTTGCTGTGCATGAACATGGGCAGTGCTTTCCCCCCTTAAAATAAATGTTAGGGGGATTCTCAGTTTCCTACTTATATTGAAATACTGCCCCTCAATGAGGCCAAACTTAGATTCACAAAATGTTTAGGGGTATGTGTACCCCTGTATCCCCTCAGAAAAAAAGCACTGCACATGGGCATAATTAGAAGCAGTCCCTATGTAGACCAGGGGTCAGCAAACTTTTTCAGCAGGGGGCCGGTCCACTGTTCCTCAGTCCTTGTGGAGGGCCAGACTATATTTTGAAGAAGAAGAAAAAAGAATGAATTCCTATGCCCCGCAAATAACCCAGAGATGCATTCTAAATAAAAGCACACGTTCTACTATGTAAAAACACCAGGCAGGCCCCACAAATAACCCAGAGATGCATTTTAAATAAAAGGACACATTCTACTCATGTAAAAACACACTGATCCCTAGACCATCTGTGGGCCGGATTTAGAAGGCGACGGGGCCGGATCCGGTCCCTGGGCCTTAGTTTGCCTACCCATGATGTACACAATAACAGGGAGGGATGATCAGTGGCTAGAATTGTGAAGTACAAGTTTTGCATTTGGACAAAATGTGACCTTGTTAATCGGGACATTTGCACCTGGTGGCTTCTGGTGGCCCTGGTTGCAAATTGAGCAAGTGTGCCAAGTAGATCACCCAAAGAAAGGAACAAGGTTTCTCTCCCCAGTGTCCCTTCTCTCCCCCCACTGGAGGGCGCGCAGGCAGCATCAATGTACAGCCTAGGATACCCTTCAACTGCCATGTGAACAGATGTGGAGCATCAGGGCAGGGTTTGAACAGAGGCCAGGAGTGAATGGGCAGCAGGCAGCAGGAATGTTCTCTGGCCTCTCAAGTGAGCTGTACACAGACAACACCTCCCTTAGGTAATGGCATTAGAAGCATGCTCCAGTGGTGGAAAAGGTGTGACTCTCACTGTACATGCTTACAGGAATAGGCCCTCAGGTGCGAGCCCAGCCCTGTAATGGGAAAGAAGGGAACAATGTGTCAAGAGTGTTCTCAAAAGCAGGTGAGAGGTTTGGTATGTATTTATTCTCCCAAAGGAACAGGCTGCATCCCTGGGAAGAAATTATGAGACAATCTGATGGGTATCTTGCCAAGGCAACATCCTAAATAAAAACCAACAAGCTTCCCTATACAGCTAAGCAACAAGTAGGTTGCCTCAATCCAGCTATGTCCTCCAATCTGTTGATGCTAAACCAGCACTGGGGAACTTCTGGCCCTCCAGATTTCTAGATTTGTTGGACTCCCACTTCTATAAACCTTGAGCAGCAGCCATGCTGTCTCAGGCTGGTGGGAGTTGAAGTCCAACAACATTTGCAAGGCCCGATGTTAGTCATCCCTGCCCTAAAGTGTTCCAGCTTAAGTTCCTAGGGCATTTCTCTCCAGGAACATCTCCCTGAATCTGGTGCCTGC